AAAACTAACAGTCCTGCACCAAAATGCTTTTAATTGGGTATTACGTACAAGTTTTCAAGACAGTATACCATTAGGAATGATGGGTCTTGGAACTGCAGGAATTCATAGCTCAAACAGAAAGGAGGTCACTTAAGTTGACGGGATGAACAGGCAATGAAAAAAATACATTGCATTGGACGCAGAAATTGTTAACATGATCCAGAAAATGTTTGAAAACCGTAAGAAACTGTATCACTGAATGTGAGAGCAAAATGATTTATTCGGGAGAAACAACAGTACAGAATGAAGGGCTGGGAAAGGCAGTACAAATGATTTACTGAGAGCATCTGGTGGGAACTGTTTATCTCCTGTAAGACCACTACATCCAGATCAATACAGGTACAATCCATACACACAACTGGTACTAGGCTACAAAATTCCAACCAATATTGCCCACATAGCTATCATTAAAAGTTCCTACAACAAGGACTTCTCAGCAGGGATGATGCAGCAGACTTCACTGCTTACAATAAAACAATGATCAGCTCTCTATCAACTTTCTGTTTCTAAAATTATGAACCCATGAAATACAACTTCCTATAACCAATGCCACCACAAATAACTACTTTCTATGAGTGGCGCAACCACAGATGACCACCTTCTACACCAAATTGTGCCACCTTTCTATGTCTGATGCAAACACAAATGTGATTTTTCTATGACTGATGCCACCACAAATAACTACTTTCTATAAGCAATGCAACCAAAGATGGCCACCTTCTACAGTAAATTGTGCCACCACAAATGTGCACTTTCTATGTCTGATGCCACCATAAATATGAACTTTCTATGATTGATGCCACCAAAATGTCAACTTTCTATGACTGATGCCACCATAAATGTGAACTTTCTATGATTGATGCCACCAAAAAGTCAACTTTCTATGATTGATGCCACCATAAATGCAAACTTTCTATGATTGATGCCAACACAAATATGAACTTTCTATGACTGATGCCACCACAAATGTCAGCTTTCTAAGAGCAATGCCACAACAGATAACATCTTTCTATGATCAGATGAAGAATTCCTATGATGCCACCACAAACAACAACTTTCTAAGAAAAATGCCAAATATCACTCATGACATCTTTAAGCAACGCCACCAGCAACTTCTACTATTGTCATGACGAATGACAAACTTAAAATCTTTTTGCATGATACTGATGATTTACAATATCCATAAGTTACTACCATCCTTAAGGTACAACTACCATTGCTGTTCATGGAAGTGAACTTGCATCACTACCAACACATCTACCCTGCGTGCCAACCCACTGATAAGTATTAATGGTAGCTGTGATAAATGTCTACTAACATGAACAGAACCTGTTCCCTTGTAGCTTACAAGATCAATACTTTGGTACTCCTGGCTTAAGTTCAAACAGCAGTACATTTGCATTCTGAATAGTATTCAATACATTAGTTTAACTGAATATGTATGGAAATTAAATTATCTTTTGAAAAAGATGCTTTTGAAATACCACATACTTGGAAATCATGAGGAAAACTAGTCAAGTTTGCTGGCTATTCCTCAGATGTATTGTGATATAATACAATTTAAAGTGCTTCAGAAGAAGAGATAATTAAATTGGTACAACAATAAAACAAAAATCTTATAGAAGAATTAATAAAAACTAGACATTGTCTGTAAAACAGGAATGTCCTCACTGACTGCATCCTTTGCCTCTGTAATCTTTGGTTCTACAACAACCATGAAACCCACACTCGACAGCAGTATTTGTATTTCCAATCTCCTCTGAAAATAATTTCTAGTCGAGTAATGATAATATATTCCATAAATAGTAACTGTGACATTAACCTTGTTCTACGACCTTGTAAAAATTAATTGAACAGAGGTATTTTGTATTGTTCAGTGATGCAGTATGATGATGATGATTTGGGATGAATAGACATTGGTTACTAACTTGTCTAATTCATAACCTCTAACATTTAAATAGTATTGCTTTCTTAACAACACAAATATTAATATTTTTCACCAATATTTAGAAAGAAAAAGTTGTGAAGTAAGATGTCACTCATGAATCCCCAATATTGCTGTTAACAAGGCTATATATTAGTAGACATAATATAATGTTTACCAATCTTTTAGTGAGAAATCAGATCTATAATTATCTAATGGAGGACATGTTTGTACATCACCAACAAACCTGACCAATAACAGTATATAGAAGCGAAGGTGTTTAAACACTACCAATATAACAGAATTAGTAGGTACTAAGGGGGACAACTCACTATACACATGTAACCACTAGAGGGTGCTGCTATCGAGGGTATACAACCTATACACCAATATCACGGTCACTTTGCATGGATTTAACGATCATCAGCTGGAAGTACCAGGGGGATCACTCACTATATACAGGTCACCACTATTGGTAGCAGTTCTATCTAGGGTATACACTTTATACAGAGTAATCACTAGAGGGAGCTGTTATCTACAATGTACACTATATTTAAAGTAGTCACTAGAGGGAGCTGTAATCTAGAATACACACCATATATAGAGTAGCCACTAGAGGAAGGTGCTATCTACAATGTACACTATATCTAAAGTAGTCACTAGAGGGAGCTGTAATCTATAATGTACACTATATATAGATTAGCCAATAGAGGGAGCTGCTACTTATAGTATACACCTTGTATAGAGTGGCCACTCAAGGGAGCTGATATTTAGAATGAACACTATATATACAGTAGCCACTAGAGGGAGCTACTACTTATGGTATACACCTTGTATAGAGTGGCCACTCAAGAGAGCTGATATTTAGAATGAACACCATATATGGCATAGCAATTAGAGGTAGTTGCTGATATAAAGGGTACATTAGTATACAGAGTAGCAATTAAAGGGAACTGAAGGTAATAACACCATAAAAATTATTACAGGACAAAGTGGTAATCATGACAATGTAAACATGACAAATGGTAGCAGTGTGACTACTGAACACATAGTGGCAGTAAAGAAATAGGATTGACCAACAATTTGACAATTTTTTTTTCTAAATAAACAACTCAACATCAAAAGACTCCTTTTGAATAAGGACATTATATATTGAGTAGAATATGCAGATACCATAACCAGGAATTATGAATGGAACAAAATTAAAAAAAAAAAATTGAAGTTACAGCACAAGTAATTCCAATCAATACAAGAAGAGAGATAAAATATGAATTTCTGATGAACTCCTCCCCAATAACCAACATGCTAAATGTACCACACTACCGAGGAAGAGTAATAAAGAGAACAAGCATGAAGACCATTCCTTGTAAATGACATCGCCAATTTTTAAATGCAAATGTTGAACATATATAGACCAATTCTGTGTTTATGATAAATGTGAAATGTGTCTAGCTTTCCTTTTAAAGAGATTCCTTTGAGAGACAATGATTATCTAAGAATGGTTCCGCCATTATGCTCCCTTCCATCTTCCCGAACAAATGAGCTGGTTGTGTGACAGCCGTGGGTTTGTGATGGTCTACATGGATGTTCCATTAGGAAGAGCTAGATAAACAATGACCTAAAGCCGAACTGTTGTGATCTCTATAGCTGGTATTGCTGTAGAATGCTTAACTGTTGCAATCTCTATAGCTGGTATTGCTGTAGAATGCCTAACTGTTGCAATCTCTATACATATGTATCTATATATCTATTAAAGAATAGTATGGGTCACACTTTGCTTTTGTGTTATACAAAGCTATCTTCTGTTAGCACATACAAAAATTAAAGTTTGAGAATAAAGAAAAAAGTTCCATTGTAAGTACAAAGGAACCTTGGTAATTCATAACCCCAGAAATTCTTATCAAATTTAATGATATTAGTATTTTTAAAAAGTTCAAACTATATGGTAAGAGTGACCCCAAACCAAACATCTGCTCTGATTTTTTTTTTTTACAGATATTTATGTATAAGCATGAAACACTGTAATTTTATGTTTTTCACAATTCATATACAGTGGAACTTCTCCCAACCGATCATGCATGGAACATTTGCCTGCTTACCTTTTCTCTGATCAGTACAATGTAACAATCTTTTGAAACTACATGCCATTAATGTTTCTATTGTATATGTGTTAAAATAACATATTCTACACATCACAAATAAGATGCGAAACTGTGGCTTTCTAGCTCTGTATAAGTACTTACTTTCAATATGTCCTAGCTCTTATTACTCCCTTTGGTTAAGCAATGGATTCATTTAATGTGGTTTAATCTTGTCATTGGTGAACATTGAACAAAATGTTAATTTTAATTCTCCCAACCAGGGAGCACCAAAGGCACAAAGCTTAGAACTGTTGACACAGTTACTGATCTCACTGTCAGCTATTTGGTTTTCAGAAGTTGTTTTCAGGAGTAATTTTTTGGTTTTTGAAAGTAATTTTCAGCGTATTTGATTCATTTTAGATTCAAAATCCATTTGATATTCAAAATTGAGAGGGATCAATATTAGGAAGTGTTTTACAACTATAACAAACATTGCCTTTTTATTCTGTTGCAACAGATGATTGGTTTTGAGAAGGATCGGTTCTGGGAAGTTGCACTGTACATGACAACATTTCCAATATGTCTTATTGGCCTTTGACAGCAAACATTTTGGTCAAAAGTGACATAATTGGAGGTCTAATTTAATCAACTTTCACTGCAGTTGTTTATGAAATATTGATTTAATTGTGCACACAAACACAGAAATAAAAACCTGACCTTCTTCATAAAGGTTATCTATCAGGTAGGTTAAACAGAAACACGAAACTATCACACCAAACTTGTGTTGCTTGGCTACTGAACCTTGAGTTATGCAAATGAACAAAACAAACACATCCAAAATCAAAATAAACATGCTAATAATTTGAAAAGGTGTAAAACTGACTGGTAAAGTGTACACAGCATAACTGATACAGGTCAATCAATGTAAACAAAAACAACAATTTGTGAACTCTTACCTTCCCGGGCTGAACCTGAGATCAGGAAACCAAATCATTAATGTTCTATCAAATACATCCATATCAGGTCCAATTTCCTCCCCCACCCCAATAAGGCCTGTGTAAACATAGCTGTGTAGGCCTTGTACATCATAGGACTGACCATTCTAATACTGCCTGAAATATCTGATATTTAAATAGAACACTGCCAACCTTTCCTTTAAGATTATTTTCATTAAGTCATTACTTATATATCCAGATACTACTCACCTGTTTCAATTTTGATCATTTTTTAAAAATATTTATTCTCATAGAAATATGGTATAAATGCAGATATGATTAACTTCCATTTCTACCCTGAAATACCATTTGACAAACAAATGTACGAATTCTTCGGGAAGAAAAAAAGGTACATCGTTTTTATGAACTTTATAGCTGAGTTTTTGGGGATTTGTTTTTAGGTTGATGACAAGTCTGCTGCACCACCAGATGAATGAAGTCTTTGTGACTTCAAAATACATCTCATTCAACCAAATTTGATCAACATTTAAGTTCAAAAAGTCTGTCATTCAGCCTCTCTCTCCCAAGGTAAGTTCTACACTAAACCTCGCTTAATAGGTTCATTTTAGTCTATTCTCTAACGGCTGCCACTCTGAACAGTTTTACTCTTGTCTGATCTCTGAAGGTGACCTCTCTGAATAAGTTAACTGTAGTCTCTTCTAAAAAGGTAGCCTCTTTCAACAGGTTTACTGTAGTTTGTTCTCTTAAAGTGCCCTCTTTCAACAGGTTTACTCTTGCCGGCCTCTGAAGGTGACCTCTCTGAATAAGTTGACTGTAGTCTGTTCTATAAAGATGACCACTTTTAGCAAGTTAGCTGTAGTACATCTCTAAAGGTGGCCTCTTTCCACAGGTTCATTATCATCCGATTTCTAAAGGTGACCTATCTATACAGGTTTACTGTGGTCTGTTCCCTAAAACCTCTTCTCTTAACAGATGTCTGTTCTATAAAGGTGGCCTCTCTTACAGGTTAACTATAGTCTGTTCTCTAAATGTGACCTCTCTAAACTGATTAACTATAATCTGTTCTCTAGACGTGACCTCTCATAAAAGGTCCTTTAAAGGTGGCCTTTCTAAACAAAGATAAAGTTTATAGTTAAAAATATACACATATAATGTGAAATACACAAATAACGGAGGTTCAAGTTTAACATATGGACCATGATCAGCCAGAAGAGTTGAGGTTAAAGCTACTGTTATGATGTGCTGCATGGCCATTTAACATCAACCAATCAATATGGCTTGCTCTCTTACAGTGTTTTAAATGCTCACTGAACCCATGGGAAATCCAATCCAAGATATCCGCCTCGTTTTTAAGCACCATTGGGGCTGTTATTACCATTATGACTTTATCACAATACACTTGAAGAAGGATTTTTTTCCAATATGACAAAACTAAGAAAAAATTCCTTTGTAAGCATATGATGTTTTCCTTAAGATATTGACATAATTGTCCTAAAAATTTACGTTTACAAGCATGTTTATGGTATGGACAGATGATGTGTTAGAATTCCTTCTTAAGCAGAAAAGTATGTTGATGGTATAAAGCGATGATGGGTTTCACAGTGAAGCACTCTATATAAATTATATTACTGCTTTGTAAGTGTAATCAATTTACAACTCTCTCTGATATAACAGCTATTCAAGTTCCAGTCCGACATTTCATAGTAATTATTGAGGATAACATGTTTGAAAACTTCTATGAGCATGTCAATAATAGATCATTTTTAATAACCTTGATATTTACTGAGCCAACATTTATCCATCACCATGCTATGCCTGACATTTACATGGCCTCCAATTCAAACATGACACATAATGAAAATTAGCTAATACAACATGTAAATGATAAGGGTCAACGTTATGAAAGTTACATCATAATAAAACATTTAATGATGGTGGTGATAAAGACATGATGAATCTTAATTGCCTTAAACTGAATTAAAATATAGTTTTCAACTAATGGACACTAAAGTCTATCAATCTATAGCAATTCACTGACATCAAAGTCTATCAAGTATTTGCCATCTTAGTCTATGAATTGTTTTACAATTTGACACACAAGATGTCATAAACAGTTTGACAAAGGAGTCAACTTTCAGTTTGATACACAAATCTTGAACAGTACAACACACCAGTCATAACAAGTAAAAGACCTTGTATCCAGGCACCCTAACAATCTTACCTGTGTTCCTGTCCATCCTCCGTTGATAGGTCAGGTGTGGCGGGGAAGTCACGTTTCAGTAAACCAGTAGTCAGCTTCAGCAATGACTGAAAGTACAAAAAAAAATAGTTTTAGCATTGAAGGATAATGTCTACAGTATTCCTGCGATATCTGCCTTGAAATTTAACAGAATTCAATAGATTAAATTTACAATGCAAACAATCATTTGTACATTGATTTTGTCATGAATTCTTCATCCCTAAATAAGTATCTTCTGGGACTGATTACATTTTTAGTGTAACAGCTCTTCAGGAATTGAGGTTCAGATTATTTGTAGTCAAGTGATGCTGTGTTTATAGCAAAAAGGAAACCAGATAGAGTCATTCACCCATTTTCCTACAGATGATTACAACACCAATAAAGATCAATGTCAATCAGCAACCAAGGTCAAGGTCAAAGTCAACCAGTATCCAAGGTCAGCATCAGCATCAGTGACTAACCAAGGTCAAGGTCAAAGTCAACCAGTATCCAAGGTCAGCATCATCATCATTGACTAACCAAGGTCAAGGTCAAAGCCAACCAGTATCCAAGGTCAGCATCAGCATCAGTGACTAACCAAAGTCAATGTCTAAGTCAACCAGTAACCAAGGTCTATGTCAGAGTCAACCACTAACCAAGCTAAATATCAAAGTCAACCAATTACCAAGGTCAAGGTCAACTGATGACCAAAGTCAATGTCGCAGTGAACCCAGTAAGCAAGGTCAAGTTCAAAAAGATTTTGCCCAAACAGTACCAACCAATTAAGCTTACAATAATCTTGCAAAGCTTACAAACCACAGAAAATGAAAAATAACGTTCTGCCAATCAATACCCTATCAAAATAATTTCTACCCTACATTAACCAATCAGTGTCCTGTAACAGACATCCACCAATCAAAAACCAATCATTTGCCCTCAACACAGACAATTGCCAATAAAATTGTCATCCGATTTCCATATCAAAAGAGGACAACAAAACCCGTTAAATCAGAAGACATAACACAGGTCTGAATGGTCACACTTAAACCCTGGACATCTCAGGAGATGAAATCAGACAGAATCAGACTCCAGGCTTAATGTCATATTTTATTTGATATAATGTCTCCAGCGTTAGAGCAGACATTGATTGTGTATAAATCGCTTAGATCAATCCTGTTTCTATTCACCAGATAATAGACAAACTGCTGAAGCTGTGACAAACTCTAATTACTTAATGACTTTAAACACTCAGCAGTCATTGTTACTGTATACATTTTGTAATTTGATTCCCTTTGTTATGTAACTCCATGAAGCACTGTATACATCAATTCCTTCAATTTACACAATTCTGATGTATCGTACACATTAATTATCTAGTAAAGAATTAGCGCCTTAGTTTACAAGTAACACTGGGAATATTAGGATAGAACATAATAGCTGCAGATTCTACTCTGCCTTGCTATGATGCCAAGGGGAGATGACAAAGAAGCAATTACAGAGGGATTCCATGCCTTTGACAATACCTGGAGTAGACCTTCAATTTACATGATGGAAAAATTCAACACAACTAGTTTTTTTTGCCTTTCCTGAATTCCGAATCTACCCTTTCAGATATCAATCTTAATCCAGACCTACCCTTCCAGGTATCAATCTTAAATCTGAACCTACCCTTCTAGATGTCAATCTAAATATGAACCTACCCTTACAGATGACAATCTGAAAATATCCGGTAAGAACTTCCAAGCCGCATCAAATCATCAATATCAGGCCTGCTGGAACTTTCATCAGCCACCAACCTTGATCTCCCTGTTAGGACCCCCTACCAGTGGCCAGCACAACCCTCAGTTTCCATACAGTGGCCAACTCTAACAGGACCCTCTATTAGCGGACAAGTCAAACAACATCCCCTCCAGCCATTCATCATTGTGAAGTTAAACTCAGCCTTTAATTTCCCTGTTGGGATCACTACTAATGGCTAATATGACCTTCAGTTTCCCCCCAGCCATGAACTCAACCTTCAATTTCTCAGGTGGATCCCCTTCCAGCCAACAACTCTATTTTCAGTGTCCCTTTTGGGATCCTCTATCAATGGCAAACTAAACCAATAATTTCCCTATTGGAACCTCTACACATGACTGGTTCAATATTCAGTTTCCCCGTTGGTGCCCCTTCATGCCACCAACTCTATCTTCAGTTTCCCTGTTGGGACCCCTATCAGTAGCCACATCAATCTTAAATTTCTCTGTTGGAGCACTCTACCAACAGCCAACTCATCCTTCAATGTCCCTGATGGGACCCTAAACCAGTTGTCAATCACTAATTCCCTTGTAGGAAAACCCTTGCTTGGAATCTTGGACATGAGGTAAATATTCAGTTGTGGTTAAGATAACAAGAGATAACAGAGGGATCTTGGCGTCCACCATTGTTTGATCTTACTTTGCTCTATGAAAGTTGGATCTTTTCTCTTCTCTGTTTTTACTCTTAATGATTAGATATTTGAACATTCCTTCGCAGAAATTGTGATAATAATCTTTACCTGCAAAATCCAAAATGGCCTCCTGGAAGCCATTTTGCTTCTTCTGATCAATCCCAAAAACAAAGGGGCACAAGGAGACACCAAAAGGAACATACATATGAAATTTGACGGATATATATGTCGTACTTAAGAAATAGGTTTAACAAACTTTCAAAATCAAAATCCAAGATGGCCGCTTGTGGGCCATTTTGTTTTTTCTTATCAGTACCAAAATCAAATGGGCACAAATAGAGACCAAGGGAACCTACATGTGAAATTTAAGAAAGATCTATCCAGAACTTCTGAGGAAATTTGGATAACAAACTTCACTGGAAAAATCCAAGATGACCACCTGTCAGTCATTTTGTTTTTCTGAGCTGTCCCAATATTAAATGGGCACAAAGAGAGACAAAGGGGAACATGCATATGAAATTTTAGAGAGATCCATCAAGTCCTCCTCGAAAAATAGCAATAACAAACTTGCAAGTCAAAAAATCCAAGATGGCTGCCTTTCAACCATTTTGTTGTTCTGATCAGTACCAAAATTACATGGGCACAACTACAGACAAAGGGGAACCTACATCAGAAATTTCAGAGAGATCCATCTCTTCCTTTTCAAGAAATAGTGGTAACAAACATCATTGAAAAAATCCAAGATGGTTGCCTGCCTGTCATTTTGGTTTTTTTGTCAGTCCCAAAATCAAACAGGCACAACTAGGAACCAAGGGGAACCTACATATGTAATTTGAAAAGGATCAATGCAGTATTTCTCAAGAAATAGTGATAAACTTCAAAATCAAAATCCAAGATGCTTGCCTTTAGGCCATTTTGTTTTTCTGATCTTTCCCAAAATTACATGGGCACAACTACAGATCAAGGGAAAGCTACAAATGCAATTTGAGAAAGATCTATCCAGTACTTCTCAAGAAATAGTGATAACAAAAAATTGCTTACAGATGGACAGGCAACAGACCAGGAACACAGTGATTTGAATAGTCCACCTACTGATGGTAGGCTAACTATAACTAATCCGAATCATTTGGAATCCTTTAACAACTTCATTTTTTATGATTTCATTGAAATTGTATGTGAATTCTGCCAAGTTGTTCTCAAAAAAGAAAATTATCACATGACCTTGAGCACTAAATTAGCTTTTCAGTGAAGGAGAGTTACGATTGATCTGCCACAAATCAGACAAATCATGTTCAGGCAATTTTTTTTTTTTTTAATGAAACACTGAGTAAAAGCCATCCAAGTACAGTTGTGACAGACTATGAATACTCCCAGCAGGGTTGTAAAAATACAGCGTCCATGCTGTCACTTTTTTTTTACATCTTAAATCTCAATTACAAAATAGTAGTTCAAACTACACAGGTCTAAGGAACACAGGTAAAGATAAGCTTTCGGTTTGTGTTGAAGATAACACTAAACCAACTAGGTTGTATCATTTGGCCCACAAAAACACAAGCATCACTGGCTTGACAGAACATCATTGACAATAAAGATAGAAATGTCCCCAGAACAATATGAAACGGGACAAAGAATTATCAATCAATTTAAAAGTATTTATCTCGGTCACAAAAAGGAACATCTGCCCGTTTCTCCTGATCAGACTTCACATAACAGCCAATTGTTCTGATAGAAACCGTATAAAAACAAACATTTGTATCATGGCTAAAGTGACTTCTGGTTATCTAAGTCACTGAAACAAATGCTGGCTTCATTCTGTTTCTATTGTTTGGTTTTTCTTAGATAGCGTTGATCGACCGTCTTGTACGACCTCTATAAATGCATGACTCTGGATAACATGGATATGGATGAGAAATTTAGCTTAATCGTTCATGAAAGGGTTGTAGGAATATATATTGGGACTTCCATGGATACTGGCAACTAATATATTTTATTGTTCCATTCATAACACAAAAACAAGATAATCATCCTCTTTACAACCAATGATACCACAATTTGACAAACACCCGTGTACAACGCCATCCAAAATGTCCACAACTTGATTTAGAACATATCAAAGACTACAAGAAATCAATGAAAAGTCGATTCTGTGTCCCGTATCTTTGTTCATCTTCAAAATTACACCAGTTTCTCTTTAACTTATAAAACATCACAAATAATCATTTTAAGTTGTCTGTCAGTTCCACTTATCAAACCATGGTGTTATGAGGTGTCGGTGAGGTAAGGGACTCGATCAATACATACATCCTGGAGACCACAGTTACTGAAAATAACTACCTCTACAAGCCTATAATGGAAGGAAATGATCTATAGACATGTCGTTCTTAAACAATTGATTTAGGGCATAGAAATGTGTAAACTTCATCCTTTTGAAAAGTTTCCCAACTGAGGTTGTGTAAAATTGATTATAGAAAGAAATGTGAGGCATTCATTATTCAAATTCATGGTGCGTTCAAATGTGTCTACAGACAGATACAACTAGGACTGGAACTAGTACAAACAACAAACTATAATGTGTCTACAGACAGATACAACTAGGACTGGAACTAGTACAAACAACAAACTATAATGTGTCTACAGACAGATACAACTAGGACTGGAACT